AAGTTACCTGGGGAGCGGGGTTAGAAATATTTGTTTAGGGAACGTATACGTCCGACCGTCGTCGAAGAAAGTCGCAAGCGAGGCGCAGGAGAACTATGGACGAATTGGGGAAGATGTCCAAAGGTTCATTAGGAAGGGAGAAGTTGTCATGGTGGACGATTTTAACTCCAGAGTAGGGAAAGCTTCCAGTAGAGGACAGGCGATCGGGCAGCACGGAGAAGACAAAGTGAATGACAACGGAGTGAGGATGCTTGAATTCTTGGGAAGCAACGAACTGATGGTGTTGAACGGTAGGAGGGAATGCGATAAGCCGGAGTTCACAAGGCAACGCGCAGTTTGCAATGGATCCTCGATCCTCGACTACATCCTGGTAGATAGGGGGAGGACACAGCTTCCAGAGCTGCACGCAAGTGCGATAGATATAGGTTCGACCGACCACTTCCTCATATGGGCAAACATCGACCGATCTATGATAGATAGATGGAGAGTAAGAAACAGAGGAAAGTGTTTCGGTGGAAAGTAGAGCGTTTGGGAGACGACGGGACACGGGATGAATTCCAGATGGACTGGCTGGTAGTGTAGAATCCTTCAGCAAACTGCTGAGAAGCGTCGAAGACGGACAGACAGGTAGAGACGTACAAGCAGCAGGGGACAGGGTGAAGGGCGGGAGTCCACAGTGAACGCAACGGCAGGGAGAGTAGTGGGAAAGAAGGTGGTACGATGTGGGGTATCGGTTAAGTGGTGGGATGACGAGCTGAAAGAAGAAATAGGGGAACGTAGAGAAGTCTTCAAGCAGTACCTGAGTGAGGCGTCTGAGGAGAGTTGGGAAAAATACAGGGCCAAGAGAGAATAGGTGAAGGGACTAGTGCAAAAGAAGAAAAAGTGCATTTGGGACGAAGTAGTGCAGAGGGCCAACGGAGGCCTGGAGGGGAACGTCAAGCAGATGTGGGTAGGGATTTTTAGTGGAATGGTAAAAAAGACCGCGCAAGGGGGGGATACAGGGGTAGCAACTTTGCGAGGTGTGAACGGTGG